CCCCCCCCCCCCCCCCTCCATGGCTGGCACTTCCATCTTGTGGTTGTCCTTCCGGGTTCGGAGCTTGGCCATCTTGATTGGTCAGTATAACCCAATTCCTGGGCATGCACATGGAGGGAGTTATTTTGTGCAGATACAGAATCCTACGGAGGCACATGTGCGGCTTGGTGTGCACATACAGAAAGAAGTGCAGACGGGCAGGTTGAAGCATCCGACAGACGAGACCTATAGTCTTCAAATATCTGGAATGGAAAACTGTCAGGCAGGCTTTAAAAGAACTCTGGGGTAACCTTTTTATCCCATGGTTCTCAAGGGTCACGGAAAGACATTTTAACATCCTCCAGTGAGCCAAAGCTCAGTACATAGCGAGCTATTGCTCACTATATACTGAGATCGCCGGGACGGATCACGACAATGCTGTCAAGATCCACCCAGCTGCGTGACTGACAGCGGGCTCTGCCTATCTAGAGGCTGTGCCAGCCCCGTCCTTTTCTCCACTCAGCGCTGGAGGAGGGGGCAATCCCTGCGGGGAGATGATCGAGAAGTTAGCGAGTGATGGTATGCATTCGCTCCACTTCCCGATCTATACAGCCGACCTTATGATAAGTTTCATTGTCACAGGTTGGCCCGAACTATGGGGATGAGTGAAAATCACTCCCCTCGTAGTTCTCCAAGTCGGCAGCACATGGCTCCTGGTCAAAATAAATTCCCCATCCTAGTAGATCTGGACTGGCCAAGAAGAACCTTCTAGGCACAGACTCTCCAACCTACCTTGCAATCTTTGGGTTTAACAGCATGGCTATAGGAGCCCAGGTTCACAAGCCTACTTCTTGCCCAATATACCATTGCACCTAGACGGCTTTCAGATGGTGTAAGGCTTATGACTTTAACCCAATGAGCTTTACCATCCCTTGGATTCTTAGACTTTTCAGTCTTGCCTGGGACTGCTCCTAGCCATGAGCACCATGAAGGACAAGATCCTAGTTCTTGCATCTTTGTTTCAATGACCCTTGTCTTCCCATTCCATGGTTGGTCCCTTTTGTGCAGGTCGTTATTCACATCATCCACCTAGTAAGCCTCCCATGGCTGGATGGAATCCATCTGGTGCCTTCCTTTGAGGAATGGAGAGGTCTCTGCTATGGCCTCACAAAAGGCATCATTATTGTCATCACCTCAGCCAGGAGGGTATCAGAGATGGCAGCTCTATCTTATTTATCTTTCTTATTCTTCACAAGGACATATTTCAACCTAGTTCATCCTCATGTATAGATGTTACAGCATTAGCTTTTCAGTTTTGGATGTTCTACTGGGTACTCCTAATCAGGAGGGTCTACAGCCAACATTGGAGCCAAGAGACTGAACCTGGGCTGATGACTACGGTAGGAAAGAGGGTCTACAGCCAACATGGGAGCCATCTGAACCTGGGCTGATAACTACGGTAGGAAAGAGGGTCTACAGCCAACATGGGAGCCATCTGAACCTTGGCTGATAACTACGGTAGGAAAAATCAATAAAAATACAGTTTAGGTGGTTATGGGAGCAAATAAAAGGAGAACACTGAGGTGTAGGATACTCTCATTCCTAAATGTTAGGGGGGGTTGGAGTTAGAGAAGGTTAAACTAAAATATGCTAATGAGGCACAAATATACCTTTTTTATTTTCTCCCTATCAAATGCGCCTCTCCAGCACATAATTGCGGATAGGATGCCACCCACTTGTGTGTTTGTACTTCTGTGTGATGTCAGCATTATGCAGAGCGAGAGTACAGCAGACATTTCCTGTCAGGCATTCCATTGTGGAGTCACTGCTTTGACTTGTGTAAAATTCAGCCTGAGCTATTGAGCTCGGCAAACACTGAAGCTTTTTACAACAGAAGGTAAAGAAAAGCTGGAAAAGGAGACACACAGCTCCACCTGGTGGCTTAAAATAAGAATGCAAAATATAAATATGCCATTTTTTTGGTCCTGATCATCATAAAAACGTATGCACACTTTAGATTCCCTTGAAGACCTGCAGCCATACAAAATAGGGGAAGCAAGGGGTGCCACTTTTCATCTGGAGGGCTTAATCTTCCTTTTAGCAACTGGATGGTACTGCACATAGAGCAAGTATATGTTCTGTGGCACCGATTGGAAAAAAACACATCCTAGAGATGTTGGGATGCCACAACTCTCACCTCCCCAGAGAGAAGCCATGACTCATATGCCAACAACTAATTATTCTGGTAGTCTGCATTGTGGGGGAGCTCATTTGCATTTTGAGGACTTGACTACATCTCCGCAGGTACAAAAATATTATATCTGTGTGTTTACAGCATAGCCATTTACATATATTTCTCATTTTTTCCTTGAATAGGAAGTTCTTCAACACCTAGACCCCCTGCAATCTGTACATAGACATTCTCAGGCACGGGTTACCATGACAAGCTGAAAACGTTAATCTACATTCTCTTTTAGACCTGTGACTTCCAGTTGCTGGGCTAC